ATAGTTGGCCATGTGAGATTTAGCTGCTTTAACCTCCATGCCGCCTGCTGGCCAGTGAGGACATTGTCCAGGCATGGAACATCCCAAAGGTTGAGGAGAAGAGAGGGTTATTAAGAGTTTACGAGATGGGGAACCAGCAGATGGTGTAATGGTTATGTCACTGAATGCCCATGTAGTTGACCGCAGTTCGAGTCCTGGACCTGGTAGCTTAAAATCACGTCGGGTGCATGTGCGTGCATGCCCAAAATCCTGGGAGGAGAATGGAGAAGGGATTGCTGCAGGGCCATCCCTCCTGGGGGTTATTTCTCACTTTCTGTTTCTTGGTCTCTCCAGTGAGTGCATGCACCCTGTAGCAAAAATCTCTCTTAAAAAAAAGAGTTTGCCGTTGGAGCCCTTAGGGAGATACCTGCCTCGAAAGGCCACCTGTCTCACACTCACGTCAGAACTGGTCGCTAGAGGAAGGGAGGGAGGGAGGGCTGAGGAAGTGAGTCGCGAGGGTGGTGGTGACGACACACAGCTTCTTCAGAACACTTAGCATGGGCTTCGCATAGCTCAAATCCATTCATGCGTGTTAAGTCATTTTCTTGTTGCACTGAGCGAAGTGGGTGGGATTGCTATCTCATTTTACAGACGAGGACACAGAGGCACAGAGAAGAGAAACACCTGCTCATAGTCACCAGCGAACAAGCGTGGGGCTGGCTGGCAAGTTCTTTTCCCTAGGGAAGAATGGACAGACTCCGGATGAACTCGTGAAAATCAGTTTCTGCGTGGCAGGAGAGAGAGCAGTAGGGTTCGGCGTGAGAGGCGAGGACACTGCTAGCCTGGAGCCTCCAACCAACCGGCTCCCCCAGGTCTTCCTTCTCCCGCCGAGGTAAGGAAGCTCCGTGGAGCCACGAGGCCCAGGCAGTGGTGGGGAGCGGGGACTGCCCCCAGGCCTTGCTTGCAGTTGCTGGGTGAGGCAGAACTACTGAACTGGCTGAAGTGCGGGCCGCTGCTTTCAAGAAAGTGAGGGTTCGGTGACTCTCAGTGGGGCTCTTCAGTGAGATGACGTTCAAGACCATCCCGCGGCGAGGTAGCTCCGTCTTCCATCGCTGGTCTTCCATCGCTGGTGTGGCAGGGCAATCCGAAAGCCCTCGGGGAATCACTCTTCAGTGTAGACAACCGTGTCTTTTAGAGAAGGGTTTTGAATCGTGGGCTTCCCCTGGGGTAACCCCATCCGGTCATCCCTACTTTCCTGCTCCAGATTTTTCCCCACGGAGCCGTTTCCCCGGAAACCTAAGCCTTCCTATGGGGGTGAGCAAGGTCAAGATGGAGACCCTCTCCAGCCAGAGCTGCACCTCGTCCCGAGAGGGATTTGGCCATATTCCCCGAGGAGAAGAGGTGGGAAAGGGGCCTGTGGCCATCAGGTCCGGGACTCGAACCCCAGTCAGCCATGTGGGAATCTAGTGCCCTTAACCACCACACCTTCTGCCGGCCCCGCCTCCTATGTTCTTAACACATAATGTGAAACAATTGTATTTTCAGGAGAGGGACCTGAGAAAGTAGCTGATGATTGAAAAGGCTTTTGAGGGACCAGCAGTTAGTGTAATGGCTATGTCGCTGGACTCCCACGTAGTCAACCACGGTTCGAGTCTCGGACCCAGCAGCTTAAAGTCACGCCAGGCGTGTGTGCGCGCGTGCCCAAGATCCCGAGAGCAGAATGGAGGAGAAGGGATTGTGACATGGCCATCCCCCCTGGAGGGTGATTTCTCGCTTTCTGTCTCTCTGTCTCTCTGTCTGGCGAGCACATGCGCCCTATAGCGAAAACCTTTCCATAAAAAAAGAGAAAAGGCTTTTGACATCTGCCTGGCTTTTAACCTCAGTGCTTATCATAGTGAGGGAAGATGCAGCGTTAGCTTTAGAAGCCCAAGCTGGCAGTGCCCTTTGGAAACATGGACCCACGTGTAAACCTGGTCTTCTGAATGGAGCCCAGACACCATATTGCGGCCCACTGCATTGTTTCCCGTTACGGATTAAAAAAGAAAAAAGCCACACCCCTGACTTGCCACATGGAGGCGTAATGGTCCAGTTACGGAATAAACTCTTCCGAGAAGGTCAGAAGAGACCTCGTCCTCCTGAGCACGTCCTCCGGGCACGCCATTACTAAGGAGTGTGAGAACAGCCGGGCGTGATTATGTGAAAGCGACAGACATCTGCGAGCGAGGTGGCTGGAGGGTCTGGAGCAGAAAACTGGCCCCTGTCCATGGTCTGATGTCAGGCTTTTCATAATCACAAGCAGCAATATCTGGCCCAGCTACAGCGGTGCTGGCGGTAGGGTAGGTGGCATGGGGCTGGTCTGCAGGGCTGGAAGCCATATGGCCGACCGCGGGTTCGGATCCTTAGTCATCCTGAAACACGTGTGGTACACGTGCCCAAGATCCTAAGGAGCAGGAGGGCTAGGAAGGGGATCTTCGTGTGACAGGGTCCGGCTGAGGTTGCCTCTTCTTTCTCTCCCTGTCATGCTCTCTCATGAAGGAAATAAAACAATTCTTTTTTTCTTGGGGGGAGAGGTTTTTGCTATAGGGCATGTGCGCTCACCAGAAAGAGAGAGAGACAGAGAGACAGAAAGTGAGAAATCACCCCCCAGAGGGGATGGCCATGGTGCAATCCCTCCTCCTCCATTCTCTCAGGATCTTGGGCATGCACGCACACACACCCGGCATGAGTTTAAGCCACCAGGTCCAGGACTCGAACCGCGGTCAACGACTTGGTAGTCCAGCGATGTAGCTATTATGTCATCTGCTGGTCCCCAAAGAAAACAATTTTGAAAAGAGCAGCATTTCTGCCAAGCATGTCCCATGTCCTCCGTGCCAACATGCAACATATCATCTTACGTACTACAGGAATCATACGAGGTGGGTTACGTTAGTCATTTTACTGATGGGGACCCTGACACCCAGCGAGGTCGTCACTTTATCCCAAGGTCACACAGCGGGTGAGTGGTTAGTGCAGCCATTTGAACTGAGACTGCCTGACCCCAGAGCCAGTGAGTTGAACCACAGAGCTAGCCTTATCACTCAGAATTATTTTCAAAGCTCTTGGGATGACGATAAGCAAATGGAAAGATAGGTCTCAAAGCAGTCTGAGGCCTTGAGTGCTCTGGAGACACAAGGCCCTGCTTTCCTGTTTTCTTTCTCCCTTTTTTCTTCTCGCATTCTCTCAGTGGGTTTTGCTTCTGGCTTCCCTGCCACTTGGAGTGTCGCCCATAATCTCTCGGCGCCTCTGTTTCCTAGTCTGTGACTTGAAGGTATGCCCTTTCTTTTCCCGGCAGAGTAAGGGAACTGGAAACGCTGACGGCTTGGGCAAGCACGCCGCTGTGTCATAGCCCTCCACGCACACTTGTCCAGTGCCTCGAAGTTCCTGGAATGGGTCATTTCTGCCTTTGCCATATTATACTGCAAGTGTTTGAATAGTTGTATCACATTTAGAACACTTACGTTTTTGCTGTAGGGCACATGGATTTGCCAGAGAGAGACAGAGAGACAGAAAGTGAGAAATCACCCCCCCGGGGGGATGACCACGCCAGTTCCCTCTCCTCCTGGGATCCTGAGTGCGCGCGCGCGCGTGCGCACACACACACACACCCACACACACACACGCACACACACAAGCCCAGCGTGAGTTTAAGCCACTGGGTCTGGGACTCGAACTGCTGTCAACTACATGGGAGTCCGGTCACATAGTCATTACACCAACTGCTGGTCCCCTGTTTATATTTTTCTGAAAATGTAAAGATCAGAGTTGTTTTCTTCTGGACCAGGGAGACAAGATAAATGGGTCGGTGGTAAACAGATGAGTCATCCTGAAGTTGGCTCTAGGCGAGAGCTGGCAAGAAGCCGTGGACTGAAGGTGAGTGACATGAATCCTGTTCAAGCCATTCTTCCAAAGGCGTTTTTATTCGGGTCCTTTGGCAGTTCGGTCCCATGCAATAAGTTGTATCCACATGAAAAAAAAAAAAGCATCAGTAAAAGTAATCATGTATGTAATTGCAAAAGAATACGATCGCATAGTTCTCCTGACTGACTTAAAAAGCAATTGCCCAGAACAGTCTGTGTGTAACCATCTTGTTGGGTCTATAATACACAGACATGTAGTATACCTGTCAATAACAGCACAAATAAAACGAGCTGGTTAGTGGTGATGGGAGCAGAGCTGTAGAGCCCCACTCAAAAACAGGGAGACTTGGGACCAGCAGATGGCGTAATGGTTACATGGTTACGTTGCTGGACTCCACCATGGTCGACCACGGTTCGAGTCCCAGACCCAGCAGCTTAAAATTCATGCCTGGCACGTGTGCGAGCAGGCCCCAAATCCAGAGGAGAATGGAGGAGAAGGGATTGTGGCCATCCCCCCTGGGTGGTGATTTCTCTCTTTCTATCTGGTGAGCGCACATGCCCTGAAGCAAAAATCTTTCATACATATATATATATATATGAATGAATTATATATATGTGAGTGAATTATATATATGAATTATATATGAATTACTTCTGTGAAATATATATACATTATATATATAATATATATATGAATTACTACTGATGTACTACTATATATATGAATTACTACTATATTATATATAATATGTGTGTGTGTGTGTATACATATATATGACTACTATTGTGAATTTTTCAGTAGTCTTCCCCCTCCTTCCTCCTGTGTTATTTTGGCGTTTCAGTTTCCACTTTGAGTATGTGTTATTTTATAATTAGGGCAAAATTGTTCCTGCTGCCGCTGTTGATTACAAAACAAGCTGCAAGTTATGTTTCTATTTAAACGCTCCACTTTGGTATCTCAATCAGCAAAGAGTACTCTGTAGCATTTTTCGTTTGCATTCTAGTAAAAAAATATTTTAAAGTTCTCTCTGGGGAGCGTTTCAGACAAGGAGTGGTTGAAGGAACGCCAACGGGTGGAAGTGGGGCGGGGCGGGCGGTGACGGCCCAGGGGTGGAGCCTGCGCCTGCCCAGCGCACGTGTGTGCTATCACTTATTGGCTAGCAGGGTTTCGGCCCTTGACCAATCCCCGAGGGCCTGGTCGTCAAGGCGACGGGGCACGCTAACGCCGAGGGCTTCCGAGGAAGACCTGCCCTGGGGAGAGCAGGGAAGGAACGATGGCGCAGAACTTGTACGGTCCCCGAGTCCGGATAGGCAACTGGAACGAGGACATCTACCTGGAGGAGGTACTAAGGGCGCGGCCGGGCACCGACTGGCACCTCGGGGACTTCGCCCTTACTTTTTGGCCTTTTCTCCTATTTTTAGCACCGGAGCTTCCTTTTTCACTCACCATACGCCCAATGCTCCTAAAATCCCACCCTGCTGTGAACTCTCAGGGAATCTCACTGCCCTCTCCTCTGAGCACCCTGACTTTTCCGGGGATACCCTGACTTGGGAACGCAGGTGTCTTGTCCCTCAAACCCTTGACTTACGTCGTCTCCCCTTTTATCTAGAGCCCCAGTAAGTTAGGCGCCCCCCAGTTCTTTATTATCTTAAGCCTCAGGCTGAGTCTTGGAGAAAAGGGGGGCCCCCAGTAGAAATATTGACCCTTTCGCCCTTGCCACGCTTGCTGTCCTGAGTGGCCCATGGCACCCCTTTTTCCAACGTCATACTCAGCCGGATTTCTGGTAGATGGTCTGGACAGGGGGCCGGGCCACTGTGAAGGGAGCTAGTTGGGTGGGAAGGGTGGGCTTCCCAGCGTCAGCCATGCTGCAGCCAGGTCAGTAGGAGAGATGGCCTTCAGGTGTTTGCTTCTGGCTGGAGCAATTAGAGGTAAGGTTTGTTTTATTTATCTATTCATGAGCGACCTCGTTTTTCTAAACATTCTACAATGAAAAATGATTATTTTTATCATTCTTGTTTTCCTCCCATTTCTTTTTCTGTTCTCACGTTTGCTTTTTTTTAACCGCAGGTGCTTCTGACCTAACTGCTACCTGTATCTTATTATTGTTGACCCGGAAGATCTTACCCCTTTTTCTCTTTAACCAGGAGCTCATGAAAGACTTCTTAGAGAAGAGAGATAAAGGGACCCTTCTCATACAGAGAAACAGAAGACTAAAACAGAATCTTTTGAGACCGGTAATTTTATTTTATTCAACTTTATTTATTTTTTAGTTTGCTATAGAGTGCTTGCCAGAGAGAGACAGAGAGGAAAAAGTGAGAAATCAGCCCCCAAGGGGGATGGCCATGCCATAATCCCTTCTCTTCCATTCTCCTCTCATAATTTTGGGCATACGTGCACAGGCAGCCAGCCTGTTTTCCAAGCCACTGTGGAGGGCTCCAAGTGCAGTCGGCCATGTGGGATCCAACCACCTTAACCTCCACACCACCTGCTGACCCGAGACGTAATTTCAAATTCAAAAATTATTTTCAGAATCCTATCAAATTAAGCATGAACTATATATATATTTATAGGTATATGTGTGTGTGTGTATATATATATATATATATATATATATGTGTGTATCCAGAAAAAATTTCATGAATGAATTACCATTAAAAATGAAAGGTTTTCTCTAATCTGAAAGCCACAATGTTTAAAATTCCTTAATATTTTTAGAAATATAATCTTATCTCTATTATATTTATCAGCATTTTTCAAATAAAGAAACGATTGGATTAATACATAAATCAAACGCCCCATAGTTGGTGCTCAAGACATTTTCCATGGGTGTCGAATACATTAATAATGGAGGCAACCCATGGAATTTTCACGTTTCATCTGACTTCATTCGGGACGACTGGGGAGTTGGCCATGGCAAAGTGGGAGGGACGGGAAAAACATTAAGGCTTTGTGGAAATCTTTCCAGAACTGTGTTGGTCTGGGGTGGGGGAGAAGCCTCAGGTTGGAGAGCGTTTGCAGGTAATGTTTACGATTCTTGAAGAACACCTGGAGGTGAGAATGGGGGGCTGGGATCATCGAGCCCAGGTTCAGGTCTCGTTAAGATCAGAGAGGACTTCAGGCACCTGTGAGACCCGCATGGCCTTCCCAGCTCCAAGGCCGGGGGCTGGCTCCTATATACATTGTTTGAAGATCACAGTGAAAGGTCACTTAGTGATTCGCAAAACCACCAGAGCTTGTACATTGAGTTAGTGCCTCTGATCTTGGGATGTTGACACGTGGGAGGGGGACATAGCTCCAGGACAGCCCCAGCCATGAGCCAATTCCATGAGGTAAGAGAATGGTCGTGAGATGGTCACGAGGCCCAGCTGGACCTCAGGCCCAGGTGAGACCAGCCGGGTCCCTGGGAGGTGGGGCCTGCCGCAGGGCCCTAGTCAGAGAAGCGAATAAGGCACTCCTGGGACTGACTTCGGCCCTGGCTGTTGAAGAATCACGTGGTGTTTTAGAACTATCCCTATTAAAATCGCAGATGCAGCTCTCCATCTCTGAGGATGGATTTGTGCATTTCGGCGACGCAGTCATGCTCCTGAATCCCAGCTACCCTGAGAGGGAGGCCGAGCTGTGTCTGCCTGGAGACCTGAGCCTGTGCATGACGCCAGATGAAGTCCGAGCCCACCTGAGCGACGAGCTGGAGGTGCCCTGTGGCTTGAGTGCAGCGCCCACCAGGCTCCCGGTTGGCAGAAACACGTTCACGATTCTGAGGTGCAGACTTTCTGAGCCTTTGTCCACTCGTTTTCACTAGCAGCGCCTTTTCTCACGCATAGCCTAAGAATATGCCGCAGTTGCAGCGGTGCTAATTGAGTTCTCTGTGGGTCTCCTCTTCCGGGGCTGTCTTGAGAATCCCGGGGAACCTTTTCAGTCCTTTTGACCTTAGAAAATGGGAAGTCAGGGCCAGCAGGTGGCGTGGTGATTAAGGCACTGGACATCCACATGGCTGACTATGGTTTGAGTCCTAGACCTGGTGGCTTGTTTTCTCACTCTCCCTTTCTCTCTCTCTCTCTCTGGTCAAATTTAAAAATAATAACAATCAAATCAAATAAATAAATATTTTTTTTTAAAAAAAGATTAAAATGGGATAATCAATAATGTGTGTCCAATTCAAAATCTCAAATTCGTTACCGGATCCAGGGAGTTAAATTAATACTCTTCCTGGAAGTCAAGTGGGTTTTCCTAATAACATTTCGGGATGCTTTAAGGTCATTGAAATGTTTTCTTTGTTTTTAATGTTGCTATGATATTTGACAACAAAAATGAGTAGTTTATCACAAGATGACACTAGATGGGATTTGCTCTTTCTAAACGAATTGTCCACTAAATATGTTCTTAATATTTGGAAAATGAGCAATTAAATCCTCCGAGTACAACTAGACACATAATCACAGTTGAAAACGACTGCTTTCGTTTTGCTAACCCATCTATAATTACAAGGAATTAACTACTCTTTAAGTCCTTAATTTAGATTTCCTTGAATACAAAGAATTTATGCCTAGACAACTAAAAATTGATCACGGCCTCTGTTTTCTGGATAATTAAGAAGGAAGATGGAGCGAAGTGTCTACAACAGCCTTATGTTGGCTCTCTGTCTTTTAAGATGGCGATTCCCTTGAGGGGAATTCCCCCCCTTTTTTTAAAAAAAGAATTATGTATTTACTTCATTTCATTTGTTTATGTTTTTATTTGACGAGAGAGGGAGAGTGAAAGAAAAAGGGAGAGCAAGAAAGCAAGTAGCCAGGTCCAGGATTTGAGCCATGGGCAGCCATGTGGGAGTCCAGCACATTAACCACCACGCCACCTGCTGGCCCTGAGGGGAATCCCTGTAATGTCCTTTGACATGACATGTTCCATTCACTCCAGCCAAAGGGGGGATGCTCTGAGTTCAGCTGTGGTGCAGGGCAGGTACCAGCTGGTTTTTTGTTTTGTTTTGTTTTGTTTTTGTATAGAGTGTGGATACTTGGTGGAGAGAGGCAGAGACAGAGAGAAATAACACCTCAGGGTGATTGGCTATGCCACAATCCCTTCTCCTCTTGGGACTTGGAGCATACACATACACATACCTAGAGTGATTTTTAAACTGCTGTGTCCAGGACTCGAACCACAGTTAGCCACGTGGAATTCAGTCATCTTCACCTCCATGCCATCTTCTGGCCTATTAGGTGGATTTTAAGGCCAAAAGAAAAGACCTTTTATTTAGTTATTTAAGTCAGTTGTGGTATGCGAATATGTGTTATCCGGAAAATTAATTATAAGCAAAATCATGTTCGCAAGAAATAGATCTATAGAAAGATTTGAATACAGGGAGCAGCAGCTCGCGTAATGGCTATGTCACTGGACTCCCACGTAGTCAACCATGGTTCAAGCCCCCTGGGGGAGGTTATTTCTCACTTTCTGTCTCTCTGTCTCTGTCTCTCTGGTGTGCGTACATGTGTCCTACAGCAAAAACCTCTCCAAAAAAAAAAAAAAAAGAAAAAAGAATACAGAGAGTTTCTGTCACCCTTATTCTTTCCTCACAGTGCAGACAGAGATGCCATTGGTCAAGTTCTTCGATACGGGCAGGACTTTTGCCTTGGGATAACAGGAGGATTTGAAAACAAAATGGTGAGTCATCACTTTACACCTATATGTTGTGTTGTCATTTTGATTTTGAAAGAGAGGCCAGTCCTTACAGAGGAGAACGGGGAGCTCTGCAGACGTAGCCTCCATCTCTAGCTTCGTGGCACTTTCAGCCTGCAGATTCCCACAGGGAGTTTCAGGCCAGTTCTTTCCTCCTAACCTGGCAAATTGCAATAAATACACCTTAAAAGTTAGGTTGCCTAGTGGTTAAGGCAACTGAAGTCCCACACAGCCAGAGCTGGTCCCCACTTGGTTCAAGTCCCAGAACTAGTGGCTTGAAAAATCACATCTGGCTTGTGTGCATGGATGCTCAAAATCCCAGGAGGAGCATGGAGGAGGAGGAGGGATTGAAGTGTGGCCATCCCCCTGCAGAGTGATGTTTTACTTTCCCTCTTTCTGTCTCCTCTCTGGCCATGCACTTTATGGCAAAAACTTAAATAAATAAATATACACATATATGTATATATGTGTATGTATATATATATATACACACACACTCACACATACATAACATGCACACAGACACACACAACCCTAAAGGGACCAGCAGATGGCGTAATGGTTATGTCA